TGATTAATGCCCATCCTTCAGACTAAAGGTTCCAAAGAAACCAAAGGCCATGTCTACTTTGTTCACAATTTTGTTCCCAAGCACCTACAAAAGTTTCTACAATGTGGTTGTCACACAATAAATACCAAAAAACATGAAGGAATGAAAGGAAGATCTTTAAGTAATATCGGTAAAATGGCCTTCCTTGGCAACACCATATTTTCAAGAGATTTTTTTGCCCCACTCACAAACCCTGCTGAATAGCCAGTATGCCTCTCTGTGACCACAGTCATACCATGATCTAAAGGCACAAAGACAAAGGAGCCAAGAGTGAGATGTACATCAGATTGCCTGATTTTAAATCTTGGCTCAGCTACTGACGTACCAGCTATGTGACCTTAGAAAAGTTGCTTTCTTTATGTCTCAGTTTTCTAATCTATAAAGCACACTAGATAACAGTTCCTGTCTCATGTAGTTTGTTGTGAGGATTATTATAGTTATTATACCTAAAGAACTTGAAAGAGAACCTAGCATATGGGATGTGGCTGATAAATGTTAAGCATGATTATTGTGGAAATTAAAATAATAGTATATATTTCTAAAAGTTCATGCATTTATAAGGGCTATTCCAAGCCCATTAGGATTCTATGATGTGGAAGGGAAAGTGGAATAAAAAGAACGGATGAGGCAAAAAAAAAAAAAAAAATAGAAAGTCAATCCAAAACAAGAGAAAGCCTCTTCAAGGAATATTAATAAGAACTGACCATGTTTGGGGTCTTATATTTAACTCAGCCTAGTGGATCTGGTATACATAAAGGAGAATGAGCAGAAATATTCATGGAATCCTGTGAATAGACAGGCAATAAAGTAAAAGCTTCAAAACTCCTGGTTCCAAGGACTTCAGAGCTATTGTGGTTGCTTCCAGTGTCTTTTCAATTTCCTAACACACAATAAACCAAGCTCGACTAGCGTGTTATTTTCTATTTTTTGCCATCTTAGTATAACATTTGACTAAGAAAGGCTCTCAAGTGGAAAAAAAATTATCAGAGTTGCTCTGTGTTGCCACATAAGGCAAAAGACTTAAGAAGGTAGGATACAGTTCAAAAAGACATGTTTCTAATTCTAAACCAGGTGAATTCCAAGGGTTTTCAGAAAAGCATGTCTCAAGAACTCACTAAGATTTTTGTGAACATAAAAGCCTCAGATATACTAATAGTGCAAAATGCATTTTCTTTACAAGTGTTGGTTGGGAGAGGACCAGCATTTGCAGCAGATACAGGCTCAAGTGGTTCCTCTCATTTGTAGCACATGCCACACAAATTTCAGTAGGTGAGAGGTGTCCACAGCCTCCTACTCAAGTCTGACTGAATGTCCCAGGCAAAACTGACAAACATCATCTTTCTGATTGGTCTCCATATGTAGCTCCTTGGTTGCTACAGTAAATGTTAGATTAACTTATCATACTTCAAAATCAATTAACATTTATTAAGTAGCCATCATGTGTTATCTTTTGCACGATTCATCTGAGGTAACCTTCCTAACAACTTAAAGAAATGAGAATATTATCTCCATTATAAAGACAGGGTGAAAGAAAACTTAAAAGGGAGTTTGTCCACATTCCCAAACCTCGTAAATGCAAAATCGTAACGTGAACCCAGCACATCTGCCAACAAGTACAATTGTTTTAAGACGTAACAAAATAGTCCTAATTAACATCCCACATTTTGAATTACAGAGACCTAAAGATCCAAATCTATGACCCTCTTTTTAGAATTCAATATAGACCCTGTTATAAAAATTCTCTACATTTTAAGGTGACAGCTTACAAATTCAACCCATTGATAATGTTGAATAGTTTGAAAACGAACAGTCTCCCACCTGCTCTCCTGTGTGGTTCAGGCTCAGAAATACACTCTGCTCTCCAGTACCACAGTAGAGAATTTGACACAATCAAGTGAGAGTAAATGGTAGTAAATGAAATAGAAATAGTACTGACTGTAAACGAGGAGACACATGTTCATGTCCCTACTCTATAGCCATACTGCTATGGAAGCCTGGAGAGTCACTTTTTTTTTTTTTTTTTTTTTTTTTTTTTTTTGCTTCCAACACAGAGTCTTGCTCCGTCACTCAGGGTGGAGTGGAGTGGTATGATCTTGGCTCACTGCAATCTCTGCCTCTCGGATTTTAAGTGATTCTCCTGTCTCAGCCTCCAGAGCGGCTGGGATTACAGGCGCACACCTCCACGTCCAGCTAATTTTTGTATGTTTTAGTACAGAAAGGGTTTCACCATGTTGGCCAGGCTGGTCTTGAACTCATGACCTCAGGTGATCCACCCACTTTGGCCTCCCATAGTGCTGAGATTACAGACGTGAGCCACTGTGCCCTGTTGACAGTCACTTTTGCTTCAGACCTTATATACTCCGTGTAAAATCTAGTGCTTTTCAACCCTGGTTTCACAAAATCATATGGGAAACTTCTATAAATCACTGATGTACAGACCCACTGCAAAACAATGAAATCAGAGTCTCTGGATGCTGAAGCCCTGGCATTTGTATTTTGTAAAAGCTTCCTCCAGGTAAAGCCAACATTGATTGCATAATAGATGATCTCTGAGGTTTTTCTCAAGGCTTTCTAAGGTTCTCTATCCAAAGGAATCAAAGAGTTAAACCATGCAGGCCACAACTCACATGTCAGACTTTTTGAAGCCCATACACATCAAAAACCTCCTTAATTAAGCCAACTGCTAATGGAGAGACAACTCCTCTCTCTCTTGTACTGTGGTCACCAGCACCTGCTCTTGAGAAAGCAACTACAAAAATGAGAAAAACAGAAGTTCTATAATAGAATCCACATTTCTAGAAAGCTTAGTAATGAGACTTAGAGCTAAAAAGGACATGGAGAAAAGGCAAAAGAAAGCCATGAAAGCAATCACTTCCAATTATTCCCACAACTCACTCCATTGCCATGTTGAAAAATGTTAGAAACCAAAGGGTTTTTGAAGAAGGCAGGAGCTGAGGGGGAACTTGCAGAGCAGCAAAGAGGGCAATGCCACAAAGAGAAGCTGACAAGCTTTGGAATGAGCAAACCATTTTAATCAGTCCGTGAAAAATTAAGGAAACTTGGAGAAATGAGTTTAGAAAGGTAGATTGTTTACAAATAAATAAAAACAAAGAAAACTAAGAACCCATAGAAGCTTTTTGACCGCATTGTAAATCCAGTCACTTCGGAAACTGAAGACAGAGAAGTTAAATGTCATCAGTAACCAACAGGTTACAATGCCCCTTTTCAAAGAAAAGGCTGAGATATTCTATGGTCAATTTCATGATGTTTTGACCCTGACAGCTTGACTGGCACAGAGTCTGGAAAGTGGCAGAAAAAGACACATTTCAGAAAAACTGAAAGTCAAACACCACCTGCTACTTTCACTCATTCTTACAGGCTGTGTGAGACCGGAGTGACAAAATGAAGCTGGGCTCACATGCTTACTAAAAATGATGGACAACACCAGTGTGTTTACTAAAAAGAGCTGTTTCTGGTCATTTAAGTGGCGTCCCACAAGCCATAATCAACCAAGCATTGTGGACAAGACTCTCCTGAAATTATTATGCATAAAACACATGTGGCAAGACCGCTGCCTTCAAGCAGACTATGAGAAAGCTCTTACTGAAAAAGAAAAACAGTAGGTGCAAAAGTGGCAGAAAACTTCCCCTCCCTGTTAAATAGAATATGGAAGAAGCAAATAAAATAATTTATGCTAAGAAGAAAGACCTTTACAATAATGAAACTGATAGGAAATCATTACACCTGTTCTATATTACGAGAAATGACCAGGAATTCTTTATCTCCTTACCCTGCTGCGTATGTTGGGGATATGTCTCTGTGTGCTTGTGATTTTCACAACTTGAGCTATTATACATTTATTTGTTTATAATCTATCAGGAGAGCAAATACTTCGATTATTGCTTATTCCTGATCCTAAAACAACACCTGGCACATGATGGGTTCTCAAACATTGCTTAAATAAATGAACAAATGAATGAATCAATGTCTTTTTAAATTTTTTTATTATTCTTTACTTTTTTTTATTATACTTTAAGTTCTAGGATACATGTGCAGAACATGTAGGGTTGTTACATAGGTATACACGTGCCATGGTGGTTTGCTGCACCCATCGACCCCTCATCTGCATTAGGTATCTCTCCTAATGCTATCCCTCCCTTACCCTCCTACACCTTGACAGGCCCTGGTGTGTGATGTTCCCCTCCCTGTGTCCATGTGTTATCATTGTTCAATTTCTACTTAAGAGTTAGAACATGCAGTGTTTGGTTTTCTGCTCCTGTGTTGGTTTACTGAGAATGATGGTTTCCAGCTTCATCCATGTCCCTGCAAAGGACATGAAATCATCTGTCTTTTTGTATGGCTGCATAGTATTCCATGGTATATATGTGCCACATTTGCTTTATCCAATCTATCATTGATGGGCATTTGGGTTAGTTTCAAGTATTTGCTACTGTGAACAGTGCTGCAATAAACATACATGTGCATGTGTCTTTATAGTAGAATGATTTATAATCTTTTGGGTATATTCCCAGTAATGGGATTGCTGGGTCAAACAGTATTTCTGGTTGTATATCCTTGAGGAATTGCCACACTGTCTTCTGCAATGGTTGAACTAATTCACACTCCCACCCACAGTGTAAAAGCATTCCCATTCCTCCATATCCTCTCCAGCATCTGTTGTTTCCTGACTTTTTAATGATCACAATTCTAACTGGCGTGAGATGGTATCTCATTGTGATTTCGATTCGAATTTCTCTAATGACCAGTGATGATGAGCTTTTTTTCAAATGTTTGTTGGCTGCATAAATGTCTTCTTTTGAGCACTGTCTGTTCATATGCTTCACCCACTTTTTGAAGGGTTTGTTTTTTTTGTTTTTTGTTTGTTTGTTTGTTTTGTAAATTTACTTACGTTCCTTATAGATTTTGCATAGTAGCCCTTTGTCAGATGAATAGATTGCAAAATTTTTTCCCATTCTGTAGGTTGCCTGTTCACTCTGATGATAGTTTCTTTTGCTGTGCAGAGGCTCTTTAGTTGAATTAGATCCCATTTGCCAATTTTGGCTTTTGTTCCCATTGCTTCTGGTGTTTAATCATGAAATCGTCGCCCACGCCTATGTCCCAAATGGTATTGCCTAGGTTTTCTTCTAGGGTCCTTTTTCACTTTCTATAATAAATCCATGCTTATATCTTTTCTTTTAAAAGATCCTGAGAACAATCTAGTTTTATTTTCCTATTTAATATGCAATCAAAGAGATGGGCATAACTTTTTGCTTTAAGTTCAAGATTTAAAGGCAGAGCTAAAGGTAAAAGACTGTCTGGTTCATACTTATAATTCCTCAAAATTTACTTTTATACCTCTTATTCTCTTAACATATACATGCAATGATACAAACCCTTACAGACCTATATTATTTACATTATTAGAAAAAGAATACAGCTCAACCACATCAATGCTGTGCAGAACAAAAATACATCATCCTTGTAGTGTAAAGCATTGAAATTACTTAGTTATTCCCTTCCCAAGAAGTGAAAAATATCTGAATTCTAAAGAGAAAATTTCCAGGTTGGAACAATTTAATGAAGAGAGGGAAAACACAGCTTCTGAGCAGGTCTGAGGCAGATTCAAAGACGTACTTGAAAATTATGCACTATATTTGCAAAGTGAAGCATCTCTATTAAAATTACATTCTTTATACACATGCTGACAAAATTAAGGGCACACCATCCTTTGCTGAATGAGAGTTTGTTAGAAGAGCTAGTGTGTGCCATTTCCTTTTGTTCCCTGGAGGAAAGCTATAACATGACAAATACTTTGTTAATGAATAATATTAAGCTTGCAAATTCAAAATTTTAAGTCACTGAGATTGATAAATTGAGATTCTGATGGCAATACAATTCTTTCCTGCCCGGCACATGGTATAACGATAACTGGAATACTTGTTTCCATCTTAAGGGCTGGGGAGGATTGATACAACAAGATATTCGGCGTTGCTAATTAGGAACGTCAGCAAAAGAAATTCAGAAGCTGCTGGAGTCAAAACCACAAAGAAAGGGACACAAAACTCATCCCACTGTTTTCTCCTTACCCAGAAAGTGAGATCATAACAGACCTTCATGTTTGTTAAGCACACACAACTTACAATACACTTCTATCTACAAAATATGTCATTTGAAGGAGAAATACGTGCAGGCCAATACTTTCCATCTCTATTTGATAAATGGAGAAACTGAGGTTCAACAGGATCAAATATCTCTCTCCCACGCCACAGGGCCTTCAATTGACGAAGTCAGGCCTCAAAACCAAGCCAATACGTTTTCACTCTATAATCTGATATCAAACTTCAGCTATGCCGGCAAGAACTTGCTTCCATCCTTTCATTTCACTCACATTATTTTCAGTGACAAGCAGGAATTGTCATTTTTGTTGTTGTAGATTGTGGTAAATAAACACTTAACAGACCCCAGTCTGAAAACAGTTTATCCTCCTTTTTGCAAATATTATATGTACCTTTGTGTATAAGTGTTGGTAATAAAAGCATAGAAGACAAAGTTCAAGTAATGAAAATCAAGTTGCAAGAGAAAAGATCACAACTTGTCCATATGCCTCTATCCTGCCTTTCAAAACAGAAGAACAATTTTTATGTCTTAGAGTGCTTTTTATCATGTCCCAGCGGTTTTACAAATAGACACACAAACACTTTTAATGTGTTCTTAAACAAAAAGACTCCTGGACTCAAATCAGCGCTCCTCTGGGTTGTGCAGACATCTGCTCCGCTTCTTCATAGAGCCAGCTGACATTCTCAGGACGAAATACCTCAATCTGACATGTAACTGCAAAAACATTAGGCCCAAGGAGTGACTGTAATTAAGGGCTTATATGAAAAACGTATAAACAGAGTTTGATTCTTAAGTTTCGAAAATTCTTCACAGTGATGGTACGAACGAAACCCATGGCCACACCATAATCTAAACAGAAAAGCAAAAGAAAGCTGCTTCAGGAAATACCATCGTTACTCCTCACTTGACTTCATGCTACAGATTATAGAAAGTATGTTGCTGCCTAGGCCACCAATCTATCACGTTACTATGTGAACAATGTCAGTGTTTGCAACAAGCCATTCACTATCTAAATATCAGGTATCAGTGATCAGAAAAGAGGAAGTATGTAGCAACACTTCATTAAGTTGAATTCCAGTACTACTTAAAAGTCTCCTTTTAGTACTGACATTCTGGATTTTAAAAGTTGTGTTAAATTCACTTGCTCATTTTTTCGTTCATTCATTCAATAGTTATTGCTAAGCACCTAGGTTAGACCCCTAAGATACAGTGTTGCCCCTGCAGAGTAGGCAGATGAGTCTGGGAGGAAGTTATGTGTTCTTATTACACACATATGCAATTAGAAGCTGTAATGAGTATTGCAGTGGAAAACTTTATGGGAATTTGAGAATATCCTTTCAACTCTGACACTGTACCTTCCAGGGACTAGTAATTAGAAAATAGAGGGAACTATGAAATAAATAAGAAGAGGAATCCGAAGGCCTCTAGATGATGACAACTGCACATCCTCTGCAGTTTTATTTTTATTTAAAACGTAAGCAACACTACAAAAGAATACGGAAACATTCAACTTTAACCAACCCCTGCTTGCAAATTATCTTCTAATATATTCTGATAAACACATACGTACGCATACACACAGAGCATGGTGAAAGATTACTGCTGTCAGACTTTGAAAATCTGAAATCAGTCCTTGATCTACAGCACAGTAGTTGTTGAGACAAAACTTCCCCATCTGTATAAAATGGAGTTCATCATCCCTGCAGTGTCAGCCACAAAGGGTTGATATGTAAGAATTCAATGATAGCATAGTATAAATACATTTTGAAAAGTGAACATTTTTTGTCCACAAAAAGAAATCAATCCAAATATCTGATGTACATAGGCATACACACACAAACATATACACACACATATTAAGGGAGGGAGAGAGAGAGAGAGTACACTGGGTTTCTCATTATATTACAATTTTCTTTTTAATCACAGCAATTTTGCAGTCACTCTGTTGCCCTTCTTTATGCAAAGTTTCCTATGCCAGCAGAAGACGGGAGAAGGCGGTAAAGATATGTAAAGGTCATTCTGCCTGACTCCTCTGTTCACACTCAGAATAAACAAAGGACTGGAATCAAACCCCAAAGGTCAAACTGCATCACTACATTTAACATAACCTATGGTAAAACTGGTACCAGCAATAAGTATCAGGAAAAATCCTGTGACTTTAATGTGACCATGAATTGACCTCTAAGGGAAATAGTAGCATAATTTTTACTTAGTGTTTTGTCAGCAATCATAAGAGATTGTGAGATGTTAATAACTGAAGCAGCATATTTACATCTGGTTTCCTATATTTAAAAAGTTGATATGAAATCCTAGACTGCATGTCTCTTTTCTATCAATCATGGAAGGCTACAAGAAAATCCTAGAAGGAAATGCTATTTTTTTATAAGTAGCGGTGAGATCGTTTATTAATGATCACAATCAGTAAGTGCTTACGAAGTAGTAATTACTTAAAAAAAAAAAAAAAGCTTTAAATATAATACTTAACCTTGACAGCAACCTAGGAGGTAGAAACTATTATTCTCTTTTTTACAACAGAGGACACTGAAACTCAGCAAAGTTCACTAACATTTCTAAGATCATAAACAGCATTTACCAAACATATTAATCAGCTGTCATTTATCTGGCACTGTCTTAGGTGACTAGGAAGGCTGGGGAAGGGGAAAGGTAAAAAGGAAGACATCTCTGATCCACAGATGTGTCACACATTGGTTCTAACCAAAGAACTTGCAGAGGAGATAGTACATGAACAAAAATTTTGATGATCCAAGGTACAAAATTTTAAGTACCACAAGAAATGCACAGTTAAGTTCCATCTCTGTGTTTATGGGTATTTGTGAGGGTGAGGCACAGATGAGATGAATTACAGACAAAATAAATTACAGAATTAAGTGGAATAATCTTATCCTGCACAACTTTAGACATGTCAGTTATCGATCGATTTCTTTAGGACCAGTCCACAGCCTCCGTATTCTCTGAGCTTGCTTTCGCTGTGGTTAACTTGGTAATACAGTGGACCATAACGAGGATGGAAGGTTCCAAAGGGCAGCTACTGTATCTGTACTACATCCTCAGTGCCTGTGATGGTATGTACTGCACAGCAGTACTAAGACATACGGAGTTACACGTTGAACAAGTTAAAGTGTCTCTCATTACTTAATTAAACAGAGAGCAAAACAATGAATATGGAAACATAAAGATGGGTATATACCATTTAAGATGTATAGACCCCACTGGAGTTCATGAACTGTCCCATAGTTTAACTTTGCAAATCTGAGTGCTGAAGGACTTTTGTTAGACAGCAAGTGGGATTTCTCTTGACTGAGAGTACACTAGTTACATAACTGGTCAATTATCTCGAGGCTACCAAGAAGCAAAACATGAACATTTGTTTCACTCCCTGCCATGGCAGGAAGCACAGAGTGAAACACAAAAGCTGTGTTTTCTAGAACTTTTTTGAGAGCTGTAAAGTAACTCATTTGCAGAAGTCGTTGATTTTGTACATGGGACTGTTTGGTGAGATTGAGGAAGCGAGTGATGGTTGACTTCCTGGAGTGAGTCATGGCTGTAACCCCCTTTGACATTATTAATAGCACAGGGGGAAAATTTCCAGGAAACATCAATTACCACAACAACCAAAATAGAAAAGGTGTCCGGTGACTTAATCACCAAACTTTAGGGGAGACTACTCCCCTTTCTTTATCAGAAAATGACAATAATAAATCAAACTAATACATTTTGAAACTAACGTACCAGCATATTTTCACAGTTTGCAGAGTTCTTCAATCCTACACTAAGATTTTGCTCTAGCAGAATCACCATACATACTCTATGCTAATTACAGTTGAGCCAACGTTTTGAAGACAGGATTAGGCCTCCAAGAAATAGAAATATGCATTCAATGATTCATATATCCATTCATTCCTTGTTTTAAACTTTAAATTAATAGGTATTTAATAGGAACCTGCTATGTGCCAGATTCTTATTCTCTTAGAAACAAAGAACTAAATAAATGAGGTAACAACTGTAATAAATGTCCTAACCTCTGCTCACCATCGTAATTCTCTTCCCGTTTTTTTAGGTTATAGCAACATTAAGACTAAATGATTAGTTCTGTTCTATAGCCTAAGGAAGTGTAAAAAACCTTAAGTCTGTCTAATAAGTCCAAAAACCTATGAGATTTTAGTCCTATTCTGCAGATATGCCAGGTCTGGCTTCATAGTTTAATCACCTCATAAACGGGCAGAACAGAGTAGTCACTACATGTGCAAGTAAGCTCTGGGGCCAGGTTGCCTGGGTACTAACTACTTAACATGTGACTCAGAGCAAGTTATTTCACTGGTTGGGGCCTCAGTTTCCTCATCCAGAAAGTGGATGTTAATAATAGCACTACCTCATAATATTATGAGGATTAAATGAGCGTGTGTGTGTGTGTGTGTGTGTGTGTGTGCGCGTGCGTGTGCGCACGTGTGTGTGCATACTTGGAATAGTGTCTGGAACACAGTTAACACTTTAAAGTGTTTTCTATTATCCTCATTATAATTACCGCAGTGACTCTAAGATTGGGCTTTTTTGTTAGTCACAGGAATATAATCAGTTCCCCAGCTACACAGCTGTGACTGGCCATGCATTCTAACCGACCTCTGTCTGTGCTCAGTTATGATCCAACACCATGCTTAGCCATCCTAACCACAATGAAACGGCACGATCCAGCCCCAAAGGATATTGGGCCAAAGTGGATTTATCTCCATTGCCTATTGAAATTCGTGGGTGTGACTAAGAAAAATAGCCTGTCCATCCTACCCCTACCCACCTCATACAAATAAATATCTTCCAACTTAACTGGTTACAAATGTCCTTTTGGCCCCCAAGTACTTGGGCATAACTATCACACTTACCGCAGAATGGAATTTAATTAAAGGGATGGCATAGTAAGTACCAATTCATAGAGGCTAGCAATAATATGCTCTCAATTTCTTCAACATGTCTACCTTCTCAAAAAGACATATCCACGAAGACCTTCATTATGTTCTCTAACATAAAAACACTAAAAGCAACACACATGACCAGTAATATGGCAATAGTTCAATAAATTATGGGATGCCTACTTCAAGAACCATAATTCCATTGCTACATATGATGGTGGGGAATTCTTAATCTGTAGCATTAAGGGGAAAAAATGCAAAATTATGTCTATCTTTAGTTACATATTGTGAAAACTATAGACATATATTGGCAAAGACTAAGAGTATAGAGAAAATGGAGTTGATGTGTTAGAGAGACCGAATTGTAGGCTTATTTTTTAAACAAATATGTTTTCTTGTTCTTATAAAGTAATTTATATACATATTTAAATGTATGGAATACCTTTAAATTTACCTACAGTCCACAAAGAACAAAAAACTCCAAGAAGGATTTATTTGATTGAAACATATTAGAAAACATCAAGTGCATATCAAATTATCCTAATAGCAGGAACTTTTCCTCTTGAAGGATACACAAGGCATTACTTAGCATATCATTCAAATGCACGTATTTTGGAACGGAAGCTCTAGCATCCTCCTAGATCCATTTAGGCCTGAATCCTACAGAAAAAGCACCCTACCTAAGTCTCATTTATCAGCAGCATCAAGTGTTATTTAGGAAAGTTGCTCACATCAAATATCATCATCTTAATTTCTAATGATTGCTATGGTAAGCAGCTGTATAAATGGCTAAATAAGATATGGTTCTTAACTCCAAGGACTTTACATCTTTAACTCACACTGTGGCCCTCGGCTCCAGGCTGAAAGGTTGGCAGAATCTTTACTCTTTTCCTCTCTGATCCCCTGGATCATCCCTACTCCACCTGTGAAACCTGTTGCTCTAGGCACCTCATGTCCTTCCCCCCATCGGAGTCACATGTCTCCATTCAAGCTGTCCATGCCACACTACACCCCACCCCCATTTTGTCTGCTCACCATCCCACTCGCCATCCTCCACCCCAGCCAATCTATACCTACATAAATTAAAAAACCCATCTACTTGGTTGGGCACGGTGGCTCGTGCCTGTAATCCCAGCACTTTGGGAGGCCAAGGTGGGTGGATCACAAGGTCAGGAGTTCAAGACCAGCCTGGCCAATATGGTGAAACCCCACCTCTACTAAAAATACAAAAATTAGCTGGGTGTGGTGGCTGGCGGCAATAGTCCCAGCTACTCAGGAGGCTGAGGCAGGAGAATCGCTTGAACCAGGGAGGCAGAGGTTGCAGGGAGCCAAGATTGCACCACTGCACTCCAGCCTGGGCAACAGCGAGACTCCATCTTAAAAACAAATAAAATAAAATAAAATAAAATCAGGCCAGGAGTGGTGGCTCATGCCTGTAATCCCAGCACATTGGGAGGTTGAGGCAGGTGGACCATAAGGTCAGGAGTTCAAGACCACCCTGGCCAATATGGTGAAACCCCATCTCTACTAAAAATACAAAAATTAGCCAGGCGTGGTGGCACATGCCTGTAGCCCCAGCTACTCGGGAGGCTGAGGCAAAAGAATTGCTTGAACCCAGGAGGCAGAGGTTACAGTGAGCTGAGATCACAACACTGCATTCCAGCCTGGGCGACAGAGTAAAACTCTGTCTCAAAAAATAAAACAAAATAAAATAAAATCCAATTTTGCCCATGTAGGCCTTAAAATATATATTCTTTTCCAAAATTCCTACTGCAGTTAAAGTCTGGGCTTAGTGTTATGCACTTAATTATTTTCTAATTGGTTTTCTATTTTTTAAATCTCACCTAAAGCACTTTTTAGCCTTTTGCATAGAAATGCCAGGCCTTACATTTTTGCTTTCCTTTTTTCCCAAGGCAATTAACAGTATGGAACAAATATTGGGTCCTAAGTAAACATATGCTTACACAAACATTATTTATACATAGAAAATATTAAAAATAAACAGGAGTTATTTATGAAACGCAAACATCTTTCTCAAGTAATACCTGCACAGTCCATTGAGATGATTAGACACAGAATCTAGGAAGTGTAAAATCTGGGAATCAAAGATCTGGTTCTGGTGTTGAACTCCTAAGTACTAGCAGTAGCTCCATTTCTTTTAGCCTCAGTTTCTTCATGTAAAATAAAATGTACTAAAACTGATAATGTCAATTGTATGTCAACCATGACCTTAACATGATCTACCTTATCTCCCTTGGGCCAGAAGTCAGGAGCCTTGTTATTCTGGTATGGCACCACAACATTATAATCAGTAGTACTGGGTGACATTACCTCTAGGTACTTCATTTTAGTAATCTATAAAATGGAAAGAGTAACTCTTGCCATATACATATTCAAGAGTTCTGAGGATCAAATAAAGTAGACTGTGTGTACCATGAATGTAAAACACCATATTAATTTTTTTTTTTTTTTTCTGAGATGGAGTTTCACTCTTGTTGCCCAGG